TAATTTTCTTTGTGCAGAATGGTAGTCCTAAAGTCTGATTCATGTAAGTGTTGAACATTTACCCTTGCAATTGCCGACAAGGAAAGTAGCAAAAGTAGCACTCTGAACATTCAAAATGCTAGTTAATGGTGAGTACTTAAAAACTCAGGTTGCCCATAACTCAGTATATATTTTTGACCTTAATCTCTCTCAGTCTCATTTTTTATCCTTTCAATGCAGAAGAGCATTGGAAAAATACATTCGTTAACACTTGTCAGCTGCTGAATTGCTATAGTGGCATGGAAATACTGGAAGGAAGTTAATTCTGAATTCAGATAGTGTGCTGATAGTAAGGCACCAGACACTGAACAGTCAGGGGAAAAAACGTCAAAGACAGAATAGCGCTGTGAGTTGCAGTTTAGATTCCAGTAACACTGAGAAGCAGAATGAAAGAGAACCAATTTCTCAGTATTTATGCCAAAAATGTCTTTGTATGAATTTAAATTTTAGACCCATTGAAATGAGAAATAGATTAAGTTCTATCTTCTTTAAATCCCTTCCCTCACTCCCCTGCCATCTCCAAAAAGCTTCCACATTTTTCAGAAAGTTGGGCAAACTGCTGTGTTGTCAAGGTGGCCAGCTGCAAAATTATTAGCTCATATATAACCACATGGGAGAGAGAAGTGTTGAAAACTTCCAAATTCAGGTATTAGATACATGAACGAGGAATTTCCCTCCCATTAATCCAACCTCCAGGAAATGTGGCTGGAGGTGTCATGGACCGCACAGTGACCATGCATAGACACACTTCTCTGGACTAATCCAGTCTGCAAATATTAGTGACAGATCTGAGAACAAAGTTAAATATGTCAAAAATGAAGCTTTAAGAATGCTGAAAAAATATGCAAATGTATACTGACTTCAGAAGAGAGCTTTAGAAGATATTTTTCTGCACACATGGTGCAGTTTAATTTTGGCATATCCAAATGTAGCATTTCAATCACTCTTTTTAAAATTAACCAGAGTTAAGAACTAAGGAAGATGATAAAACTAATGCCAAAGGAAATGTTTAATTTCATGTCAAATAAGAAGTTTTGAAAACCTAAGAAGATAAGCTTTTGTTTTCATGTTGACAGAGCCTGTCTTCAACATTGCCATTACTTGATCAACACTGAGATATTTTGCATGTTATTTTATTTTAGTTACCAAATAAAATTGTATTTTATTCTAATTCTAAAGAAAACGTTTCCGTGTCATCTGATTACAAAATGCATTTTCTGATACATTGTGAAATACTGTCAATATTTGAAGATTATTTTATTATTCAACTTTCACATAACTTTTTTTCATTTGTTTTTCTTACATTTTTCTCCTGTCAGTTATTTTTTTTCTTTTTCTTGCACCGAGGCCGTCAGTTTTCAGCTGGTTTCCTTGTCATTTTTTTCTTAGTTGACCTTCACATATCTCTTCTGTTATTTTTAAAGTAATTTTTCATAATCTCTTCTCGTTCCTTTATGTCAGTATTTCCTCACCTCATCTATTAGCTACATCAGCTTAGTGTTTTCTGTGCAGGTAGTCCTGTTGAGGTGTCCCTGCACTCACCTGAAGGAGAAGAGAAGATATGAATCAAATCCATGAAATGAATGATATGAAGTGACTAGAGGAGCTTTTCTCCAGCAGGAAGGTCTCATCCTGCCTTGTTGCAAGTGTCAAGGAAGCTGCTGTGCAGCTCTGCTCTGCTGGCCTTTCTAGTTCTACTCTGTATTTCCCTTGGTGGAAGGACTTGTGAAGGCACAGGGAGCTGTCAAGGATGTGGGAAAGAGAAGGAGCTGTCCAGGCAGTCCATTTAGAGGTATAAAGTACAGGCAGCTCTTTCTCATCCTAGAGGTTATTTTCCCCCAGGAGTGTCAAAATTTCACAGCTATGTTTATCCCAGGTAGAATTGTAGGTGAACTTAAATCATGTTTAGTGACATAGGCACTAAGCTGGAAGGGACATAGTAATTTTCTGAGTGAAATTCTTATTACTCCTGGTTTTGATCTGGCACCCAGAGACATTAACTTGCTGATGATCAGGGAATAAACTGAGGCTAGTGGGGCAAGAAAGGCCTGCATGTGTATTTGTTACTTAAACAAGGCCAGGGCACAAGTACAAATATCAGCATGATGGCTCTCACTGCTGAATAGCTTCATGCTTCCAGGCACAGTTTGGCCAGGCTAAGTGACCCTCTCCCAAGGCGTGGTTCAGGCAGGAGGTGTGCAAGGGTTCTTCTTCAGCAGCATAGATGAAACCATCCTGTTTTGATGAGGAACAGAGTTTAGCTGTGTGAGTTGAATGTGTTCATAGCCATGGATCAGAAATCACTGGCAATCAGGTCCCAGGGTGAGCCCTAGCTGATCTTTATCACTGATATCAGCCAAGGATACCACTCATGTTGCTGGAACCCACCCTCATTGTTGTAGCCCATCTACTGCCAATGGTGGATCGGCATGTGGCTACCTCCCAAAGTTCTATCTAGCCTAAAATACACAGTCCATTTGATATACAACTCCATATAAGGCTTACTATCTCCATTGTCAAGTGGTATGTAGCTTAAATACAACTGCCTGCAAAAATATGTAATTTTTTTGAAACTTGAAATTTTTTTTGGTACTGTTTTTTAAAGTGCTTTTTAAAAAAAGGATAACATTTAAACTTCATAAAATTGTAATTTCTTTCACTTCTTATTGATGTAAAAATAATTCTGGGAACCTTGTGTAACATGCACATTTGTATCAGTTTTGAAAAAATAATCAAAAATTAGGAATATGTATCAAGTCGCCATGCGTACCTATTGCTTGCTGGTTTACTTCAAATATTTACAACATTCTTGTAGTTATATACACCTAAGAATATGTATGCTAAAAAAGCTGCACTGTGATTTATTTAAAGTTATACTGAAAGAGGTGATATAGCTGCAGGGAGGGAAGACTAGGGTGGAGAAGATAAAAAATGACAGCTTTGATCAGTGCTCAGTAGAAAAAAAAAGAAGTCAAGTAAAAGAGGCAAATAAAAGATGCACTGAGATAAAGCAAATTTGAAGGAAGATTCAGGACCCTGAGAAGAATAAAGAAAATACCTAGGTCTGGTGGGCTGGAAAAGGTAGTTACATGGACAGTGTATGTGTTGTATCCATAACAATTGATTTACGAAATTGTTTTAACTTTTTACATTTCTAATTTTTTAACATTTTAGCATCAAAATATGCAAGGATTTCTTTTCCCTCCTTAGTTTCATGGAATCATGTTGTCATAATTGTGACATACTCCAGTTTTCCTGTCTCACTAAAAAGCAGGAGTTGTGCCATGTCAGAGCTTCACCATTTACAGTTTCTTCACTTCTCCACAGTCCCAATTAAAAAAATAAATATTTAAATAAATTTTCAATATTAGTTGATGTATAAGTCTTGGCAAAGAACATTTGGTTTAAAAAATGCAGTTTTCCTGAATATGCCAGCAGCAGTTTCTGCTATCTAACATGGTAAAGCCTCCTGTTTCTCTAATTGATATATTTTCACTGAATAGCTTTGCATTAATATCATATTTGGGAACAGAAATTATATATACAAAGTCTCAAGGGTCTGGCTGAGAGAACATGTGAGAGTGTCAAGGTACTTTTGGCTGGTAGAAAGCTTTTGGGTGTTGACTTGTACTGCAGCAGGTGTCAAGGTACTTAGGCTAGATGAGAGAGGATAGTTAGACATACCTAGAGAAATCAGAAAGCTGCTGGGGAACACAGGTTTGAAGCAGGAAGATGTGCTTGGTGTGAAATGTCTTGGTTCATCAAAACACAGGAAGTTTTGCTGCGCTGAAGAAGGGAGTAAGGCAAAATTAGGTATGTAGGAAGAAATCAAAAGAGAGTTTCCTAGGCTCAAAACCAGAATGTGTTTGAGGAAATGTTGGGACTCTAGGGAGATATGAGCCACCTGTTTACTAATGAGCAATTAAAGCATACATGGCAAAGTGGGTAATTACTGTAAACAGTAGGATTCTTCATGCTTTAGCTTGTCTAGATCTGTCACACCCAATGGTATTCGTCTCATGGACAATCTGTAGTGCAGACTCGTATTGGAAAGCATGTTTTGCAAGAATTGTTTGCCTTCCAGGGGCAATCCCAGAGTTCATTGCTGGTTCCCTTGGTAATTTCACATCCTCTTACCTTTTTGAATACTGTATACCATGCCTGCAGCAGCTACCCGTAATAACCTCTTACCAGGTTCACTAGAAGTGAATTCATTGTCGTTTACACTGTTGATTTGTTTGGTTTTCATTCAGCAGCATACTGCACATGTGGGTTCCGTCGTGCATGTCTAGTATGTCTAATAAGTGTAATACATGTGTAGTAACATGTTATCATTGAAACAAAAATTCTTTGGCAACAATTTTTAATACCTCCTGACTTTTTTTGTGCTAAAACCCCTTCTTAATTTTTATGAAAGTGGTATCGTAATGAGAATAGGGACTGTTTTATGCAGTATTAGTCTTGACAATTTAAGTAATGTTTGCATCTCTAGTTGGGGAATAACACTTGAAAATAGCTTGGTTAATAATTTAAGTGTATATAATATAATAATTTAAGTTAATAATTAAGCTAATTCAAGTGCAATCATTAAGTGATTTTTGACTCATATTCTCAGACTAGCTGCTGATATTGCAGTCATGTTAAAATCCTTGGGCAGGAGCAGGTACACAAAATAATGCTGTTTTTTCTTATTCCTTTGTAATGTCTAGAGAAAAACTGATTAATTTATCTAATAGCTTTTAATTTTTTCAAGGTACAATGGCCAGTAATTTCAGGTTGATTTGTGAGAAATTCCCCTGTATCTTACTGATCCTGCACCTTTCCAACTAGAAAAGGAGAGAGGGTGATAAAAATTTTTTTTTCTTTTTCCATCTGTTGAGTCTTAACCTTCCTGAAAGAACTGTGCTTGTTTTTTTGTTTGGTTTTTTTTTTTTTTTTTTTTTTTTTTTTGCTATCAACAGGCCAAGCTCTGATAACAGACGCCACAGCATCCGGGAGAGGATGTCCAGTACCAGTGAGAAAGGGAGCCTGTCCATGGAGTCCTCCAAAGAAACCCGGTACTGTGCTGTCTGCAACGACTACGCTTCAGGCTACCATTATGGGGTCTGGTCTTGCGAGGGATGCAAAGCTTTCTTCAAAAGGAGTATTCAAGGTAATAAACTATTCAAGTGAGTCGCCTTTATTCTTTACTCTTGAGGAAACTGAAGCTACTTGAGATTGCAGCCTGAGCCCAGGATAATGACATTTATTGGGTTTTCATTAGCAGTTGCTGTGCTCTCCCATATACTTTTGGCTCTGTATTTGGTGAATGCTTCTATCAGGTAAATAATAGGTTATTATTTAGACCAACATCGATGAAGGAAAGGAAAGCTTCTCTGTGTTGTCCTTTCTTTAGGTATATCTGACCATGGAGGCAGTGAAAAATCGAATTTCAAAATCCATGTTGGATCAGGATGACCACTCTTACAGGCTATGCATATCTCTCCTTTGTGATCATATTCTTATCCAAAGAAATTTTTTGAAAATTCCCTGTCAGATGATAAATTCCTGCTGGTTGATTTATTAATCTTAATTTAATGCTCCATTAGTCAGATGGTTCAGTTAAATCTCAACTCCTTGAAGACGTTAGATGTCTTTTGAGAACCAATATTGAAAAGGACTGATGAAATAGCATTTGTGTCTGTCAACAAAGCAGGGCTTTGAACTCTACATAGATTGGTTTAGTACATGGTCTTGTCATGGCTAAAAATGTAAGTGGAGTAAAGGGCATCTAACAAAAACAGTGTGAATTACTGTGACAAGGATAATTCTTTATTCAAATGGCTATCCCTCTGTGGAATTAATGCTTTTTTTTACTTTGTTCGACATTTCTTAAATTGAGTGAGAATTAATTATAATTCTACTGAAAATGCAGGTACTGTTTAGTATCTAAGTTTTATTTTGGAGAAGAAAATAAGAGATTTCTTCCTTTCAAACAGAAAATTGGTAAACTGCTGTGCTTTACGTAGGTTTCTATAGTTTTTTAAATCTCCAGGTGATATATGGGCACAGAAATTCCTGTTGCTCCTTTTCTGAAGTAAACATGGTGAGGAACAGTTTTTACCTCATATTGCAAGGTGTGATTATTGCCTATTTTGTTGCATGACTAGCACTGAGTTGAATTAAATAAGACCTGAAGCATTCAGCTCAGAATTTTTCCTGCCTTAAAGAAAGAAGTGAAAGACTGGCTTCAGGGTAGAGATTGATGGAATTATTTAAATGTCAATGATAAGTTAATAGTTACTCATATTTCTGCTTTTTCAGACACAGTGAAATGATTTTTAAAAAAAGCAAGTGGTTAGAACCAGAGGTTAATAATAAATAACACTAGAGGAAAAAAGGGTGAAATGCTTTTCTCTTAACATCACAGTAATTTACTTTAACTTGCGATGTCAGGAGAACAGCTCCCTTAATGTGTTTTTTGTTATTCTTAGTTTTCAATTCCCTTGACCAAATCAGAATTATTCTTACACTTTTGAAATTCTGTCCTTGTGCTTGAACTGAACAAAGTCACAACAAAGTGGAAACTGAAATAGTCTTAAGCAAAAGTAAGACTTACAAAGTAATTGTAGAGCACAGATCTTCAGCTTTTGGGCATTAGGGAAGAAGAAAATAATCTGATTGTTTCATTGAGCTCTATGGTTCTGCTGTCAGCACTTGGTGGCTTTGCCCTGCTCTCCATATGGACAAATGTGGTCCACCACAATGGAACTGTCATCTATTTGAGCTACAGTAAAGCCTAGTTAGTAAATTTACTTCTTGCTACGTTTATATACTTATCATAATTTTTAAGTAGTCAGGCTTTTAATTTTTAAAGCTGAAGTTTCCAGTATCCCATAAAATGCCTTTCTTTATCTTTAAGTCGTGTTTTCTCTATGTTAAGCTCCTTGCTTCTTGCCCTATCCCTTGTGGGCATGAATAAGGTTTATTACAACAACCTTTTACATAGTTGAGACTGTTATCATATCTTTCCTCAGTCTTCTCTTATTTCAGACTAAACAAACCAAGTTCTTTCAGTAGAACATGCTTTCTAGACTTCTGATCCCATTTGTTAAACTCCTCTATACTTTTTCCCATTGATCCACCTCCCTTGTGATTAACAGTTATTGTAAAAATGACATCCAGTATTATAAATGAAATGATTCAAGAATATGGGTACTTATGAGAGAATTCTGATCACTTGATCACAGATGGTATGAAAGGTCCTTTGAGGAACTTTTAAAGTCATAGATACCCAGTCTTGATGAACTAAGTATGTTTTGAATTTTCTACTGGATTTGGAAGAGATCTCCAATTGCTATTTCAGCAATTACACATTGTCATTGGACATATATCCAATTTATGAAAATGACAGTAATTTTTTGATTGAGAATAGATGTAAAAAAATACATTTACCTTGCAGATGATAGTAATTTTAAATAGATTGTGATCAGATAGCTAGGAATGAATGCTACTTATATGTGGGTGTATATATAGAAGTGTATGTGGACTACATATTGCTGTATATATTTGTGATTTATTATATATACTGCATTGTATATATGTTGTACATTCCTAAAAAAATCAGAAAAAATTTCCTGGAAATCATATGATTAAACAGTATTGAGGTTCACAGGACTTGTTTGTATAAACAAAAGTAATGCTTCCAGCAAAGATTTTTGGTTTTGTTTATAGTGTATCTTTCTTCAGATGCAAGATAACTGCACAGCTCTTATTCTTTGCTTACCTATATTTCTCAATACGTATATAGGTGCTGAGGTGATTGATCATTTCAATACTTTTCAGCAGAGATTTCATAGGAAAATTTCTATAATGAATTTTGATGTCCCTGAAAGACTGTAGTCAAACATTCTATATAGTTTTTGGTTAGAACCACAGGAAAAAAGTAAGGATAGACATGAACAAGCTATATGTGGTAATCAATTTCCTTTGTGTATCTGTTAGTGATATCTGAGGTATCTGTACTTACCTGCATAAGTATATACTTAAATTTTGTGAAAACTCACATCTGCATTGGAACTTACCTGAGGTGAAGATAGGTAGCTTCATTTTTTTCCAGGGGAACTGGAATATGTCTGGTAATATTTAGTGAATTTTAAATGCTAAGATGTTTTTCTCTGTTGTCAAAGAGTTAAAGCTTAAAAGGTGACTTGAATTAGCAACTGTCTCTATATGTGCAAATTTTTAGTTTTGTTTAAACAACAGATGGTTGGTAGAAAACCTCAACTCCCTCCTGAAACTGCCTATGTCAGTCTATTTTGCTAGTTTATGTCCCAGAAGTGATTTGGGAGCTTGTTTTGAGAAATCTCAGTGCAGGTGGATATCATTGTAAAATCTTTCATGGGAAAGAAAGGTCATAAGACATCAAGAATACCATATTACTTGGTGATAGAAGAGTGCTTTATTGTTCACCCAGCATATGTAGCCTTCAGGAGTGTACTTGGTCAAGTGACTTGATTCCAGAAGCATAACAAGCAATCACATCACAGCACACTGTACTTCTCTACTAAAATATTTATGGATTTTAAGAACAAAAAGGGCTTTTAGATAGTTTAGTCTGTTCTTCTCTCAATATAAACTTTATATGCTATCCATCTACAGAGCCCAGTAACTTGATGAAATTGAGTAGTTTACAAGATGCCCAGCCATTATCTATGGGCTCAAGAACTTTCTTACAATGGAGGCTTATTCTAATGATTTGTCCTCCCATCTGCTAAAAAATTATACTTCTAGGGTGTATCACTTTGGCTTTTACATCACATCCATGAACCAGACGTAGTAACTACTATTTTTCTCCTGTGGGAAATTCTTATAAATTAAGTCATTACAATCAAATCACCTTGATATCACTAGTGAACTAAAATGTTTCAGTTTCCTGCTGTATATATTTCTATTTTCTGAGTCCTTTGTCTTTCTACCTTTTCTGATTCCGCCCCACACCCATAACAGCCTGTTTAAAATTTGGATTGCAGAACTGGATGATGTATTTCAACATCAGCCTCACAAATGCCATTTACAAATTAAAAATCCCCTTGTGACTCACGCATTCTTTCTCCCTTATAATTTTCTTGTTTTTTGGATAGCCACCAAAATGTACAAGCCAGGAAGGAATTACTCATACTATCTCTGGGGTGCATCCAACATATGGGGGGCTGTGAGCCCCCAGTGGGAACACAAGGGATTCAGAACAAACAAGGGGTAACTCCTTACATTGGAGAGTTTCTTGAATTCAGAAGTGCTGAAGTATTTTAGAAATCCTCAGTTCCATTTCCTCTTCATAAGCCCTTCTGATGTTTTCCAGGTGCATCTTCTCTGCCTTTGTTTACAGCTGTATACTCAGACAAAAATTAGGTATATTTCACAAATATTCAGCTAAAAATTACTAAATCATGGGAGGCATTACCAGTGCAGCAAGAACAGGTTGGCATCTGAGAATGGATGACAAGAACAGGTTGGCATCTGAGAATCAGATTCCCATGCTGAGGGATTCCAGAGGCCTGCCTTTAATGTCTTGATCACCAAAATATAATGATCTTCAAAGTGCAGGAATTCTTGAAACTGGAAGTATTTTACTTGTGTGGCTTGAACATGGATTTTAATTACCAGTTATGCCTTCTGACCATCAAGTAGGAGAGTTTTGGCAGTCAGCTTCAAGTGTTATCAGTTGTTTGAATTTCACAGTGATAGAGCTGTACTTTGTTGAAAGTATGTAATGTGAAGAGGGGTGGTAATATATACATATTTTCATCTTAGTTGGTGAGAATTTTACTGGTAAAATATGCCTAATAAGGGAGTGTTTAGGTAATGGTGCAGTGCAGCAATTGTCAATTTGGGAGATTTCTGAGGTCTTCCCTTTAATTTTCCATTATTGTCTTTTATTTTGATGGTATTTTTGTGATCTGTTTTATAACAGCTCAGATCCTGCAGCCAAAAAGGCAGAAACTCCCTACTAAGACTGCTTGTACATTGGTACTATGAGTTGTCAGCCAAACTACAGAATATGGACCTAAGTGAGACTAGCAGCCAACAAAGAGGGGGCTGCAGACGGCTCTCTAGTCTCAGGGTGGAAAACTCATGGTTACAGTTGGAGTGCCAGGAGACTGTTGGAAGTTT